GCAAAATAGCTCCAAAACAGCCCAAAACAACTCCGTTTTCGTGTGCCGCGGGCTGTTTTCTGCAGCCCGCCTCCGCTCACCAAAACATCAGCCATCTCAGCCCCTTTGAACCCCCCAGGTGACACAGGGGTGGATGGGGCTTCGGTATAGTGTCGGGCGTTGAACAACCTTTCGCATGTTCGCACGTTACCTTGACGAGAACTTGTTGTCGCGCCCGGCACCCGATGAGCAACTGTTTGCGGACTTGCAGTTATTCGTTCAACCCTCTAAAGTCCTTGTTTTCCTCCCTCTCCCTCTTTTCTCTTGTGCACACAAGGTGCTCGCTGAATTGCTTGTGAAGCTTCCCCTTTTCGCGAGACGTCGGGACTTATTCGTCGCTCGTTCTTTCGAACTAATCAACTTTCTCTTTTACAGGTCCTTCGGGACCTGCGAGAGGTTGCAAGTGGGCTGATCTTTGCGGAGCAATATCGCAAGGGTGAAACGCGACTTAGGCGACGCAAGCTAAGTTCGCGTCTTTGCTATAAGGGTGCCTCGCGACTTAGGCAACGCAAGCTAAGTTCGCATCTTGGCCGCAATGGTGCCTCATGCCTTAGGCAATTCCAGCTAAGGCCATGACAATATAGTAACAGTTAGTGTAAACCATAAAAGAAAAGATACAAACAGAAAAGGACAAAAGTTTATAAAACATCTTTGGACATTTTAAGAAACACCTAATTTCAGAGAGGACATAGAATATTACCTGCTTGTAAAACCGAACAAGTTTGCCCTTCTTTGGTGTTGAGAATAGAACTTTTGGAGTCCGATCAGAAGCAATAAAAGGATCCTGTCCATAAATTCGAAATATTGGCCTGCACCCACCTGTTCCATCAAAGTCAGGGATAAACCTAAGGATTATACAGTCCAGAGTAAGGGCCCGATCAAGTGGAGGCCATTGAGCACCAACATTTCTCCTTGATATATAATGCAAGTATCTCAGTTGGGAAGGCAGTGGATTCAGTGGTGACAAAAAGTGCAGGAGCTCATGAGGGGCTTGCTTGTAGATCATGTCCAATGTCCGCTGTTCGCCTGCATACTGCTTGCGGTAAACTAGAAGCGCTGCCAGCATAAAAGCTAGAACCGGCCAGCCACCTCGCTCACAGTGCATCAACAAGAGATTCTGCTGACCCAGTGAGAGCCAACTCTCGCTTGACCTCAAGAAATGGTGAATCATTTCCATCGTGAGAAGCGGACATCCTTCATACTGCCTTGGATAATCCATCACAGTCATGTCATGCTCTGACAATATACTGGAAATCTGGCTTTGAGTCTCTCCCTCCCGGAAGTTAAACACCATGAAGGAGGCATCAGGGAAATTGTCCCGAAGCTGTGCCACAATGCCTCCAATGTAGACCTTATATTCATCTTGTTCCGATACATCAGTCGTGAAGCAGCAGTCAAACACTGCAAAACCATTTAATAGAAGCTGATTTCTCCCAAGCAAAATTTATCAGACATAACTACTCCATTTAAGCCCGTATCATATGCACCAAGGTTTTGTTTAGAAAGGGGATGGTTCTTATATAGAATTAGATGCTGAAACTGGCAACTGAAACTGACTTAAACAAGGGAAACTTGGGTACATCATCAAAATAGATGCTGCATGGCGATTTCACCAAGACATTGATGTTTATAGGCTCTACAATACAACTAAAAATTATTTCATCAAACACAGTTATTTGATCTCCTTTCACAGGTTAGGGATACTTTCTGATCAAAATTTAGAGAAAACGTAGCACCAAATGAAGAATTTGCTATAAGTGGACAGATTCAAGTCCTTCGAGGTAATGCGTTAAGTGCAAATGGATGCACTTCTCGATTAGTGAACTGAAAACCGCAGAGTTCGTATCACATGATACAACGACGAGCGTCAAGTTGGCAACCGCGAGCTCCATTGCAACACCACGACATCAAACACGAAATGACAAATTACAAAGTATGATAAAGATTCAACCTTTAGTCATGAATCGCAAGTCACAAGTCACGGACAAATCACACAAACTATTGTCAGAAGGTCCAGAAAGATCTACTCGATTGTGCAGCATTGTCAAAAAAGAAGCGTTTGAAGAGATCAAGAGGTCAGGTCTCAGAAGCATACCATAGACTCTCTCGGAAATCTCCAGCAGCCCATCGGGTGGCTTGCGGTAAAAGAACTTCCGAAACAGCGCCATCGTCAAGATCCAGCCGAATCAAACGGAAACACCGATGCCACCAAACAATCGGGCAAGATCAAGAAACCCTAGGCGAAAGGGTAGAGCTCATGGCAGCTCTCTCTCTCTCTCTCTCGCTCTCTCTCGCCCCTACCTGACGATCTCGGAAACATTTGGAGAGATGGGAGGGGCAAAGGGGGAAAGCACCATCAAAATCTTATCTTTGGAGCAGAGGGAGTGTGGATTCGGAAATAGAGCATGGATTTTGCTGCAACTTTAAGGAATCGCTTGCGCCTTTTTTTTGTGTTTGTTTTTTTCTCCCGCTCCTATTACTTTAATCCCTCTCCTTTTGTGGATATGGAGAAAACAAAAAAATAATAATAATAATAATAATAATCTTTTGCGAGTAATCAACACCTAATAATCACATTTTTAGGAGGAAGGAATCGTTGGTGGATTAAAAACGTCGGGAGGAAGAAGGAGATCTGGGATTCAGCGACCCGCCCGTATCCCTTCCTTTTGCCTATCCTGCAGAGATGACGTGTGGAATTCTTCTTCTTCTTCTTCTTCTTCTTCTTCTTTGTTCTCATGTGATGCTGTTGATATTTGTACGCACCATTTTTCCTACTCTCCTCCACTTCTTTTCTTTCTTTTTTCTTTTTTTTTCTTTTTTTTTTTTTAGCGAGAGAGAGAGAGGTGCTGTTAAATATGACTACAACCAAAAATTAAATTGTTTCCTAAAGAAATTAAACCTATTCTAGCACTCATACGAGTAAGTTAATGGTTATTAAAACTTAAGATAAAAGAAAATTGTGAAAGTGATCATTATTCATCCGTCTAATTCTAAGTTTAGCATATATCCCTGCAAAATATAAAAAAAAAAATTCATATATTTCAATATGGCTTATTTCCATGATTCAACTAACATTAGATGATTAATTAAACCCTAAATTAAAATCAATTAATTATCATTGGAATGTTATTTATATATTCCTTTATTTAAATTAAAACAAATAAATATGAAATTTTCATAGGGATATTAATCTTAAAGTTTTCATTAGTTTAGCTAATAAATGTGATTGAGAGTTTAGGATTTATGATTAGCTATTGATAGCAAATCAATCAATTAGCTATTCACTTCTTACCGAAAAAAAATATATAATTATGTTATTTCCCAAATGTCTGACTTTTCAAAAAACCTTTAAAAAATTTCTTCGTTGTTTGCAACTAAGAAAAAGGTTCTTATTATTACCGAAAAATTCTTTAAAAGAATTTAATTTTATATTTTTACCGACGGTCTAAAGTTTAAAAAATTCTCACATATTATTTTTTTAAGATGATCATTTTATTAATTGTGACCATCGTCAATTACTACCCTTCTTTCCCCTTTACTAGGCACTTGTATAGACTGACAAATAATATCAATCTTTCTTTTTTTCTTTTTTTTTTTGTCTTAATCGTCTACACCTTCGTTTTAAATTTGTGATGACCAAATCTAAAAACGGTTTTTCATACTTCATAATAATAATAATAATATTATTATTATTATTATTATTATTATTATTATTATTATTATTATTACTTGATGGTAGCTTTTCATGATGAAGTGACTGACATGGGTAGTTGCGGCACGTGTGCCCCTCGATGGGGGACACAAGTGGGTCCCTTATTTGTTAAAAGAAGTCGATTTAGGTAGAAAACCTGGTACCATACTTTTGTAGATTGTCTCCATCTCTTTTATTAAATGTCCTTTTTGCCCTTTCTTTCATACTTGGCTTTGATAAAGAAAAATAATAATATTATTATTATTATTATTTCATATAATATATACAAATAGAAAAATCATGTGATTCCATCAATGTTCTCTCTCCATCACCATAAAAATGAAGGATTTCGGGGGCATATGTCAAATATTACAATTTTTAACAAACTGCGTGGTCGGCAGGATTCGAACCTGCGCGGGCAAAGCCCACATGATTTCTAGTCATGCCCGATAACCACTCCGGCACGACCACTCGATGAAAATTTGCGTAGAAAGTATTATATATTAATAAAATAACAATGGAGATATTTCATAGATAAACACCAAACTTAGACCTTCTCGTGTATTTCTTATAGTTTTATTTTGCTGACTACTGTAATGATTTCTTCAGTTTATTTACTTGAACTTTTTTAGTTTTTTAAATCATTTGTGTCAATTGTTTGTCGTTACTATTACTTCGACTCTATCTAGCGACCTGCAATTTGTATTATGTTTAGCAATGTTAACACTGGAAATTAAGCTAATGTTTTGTTGTGCATTACTACTACTATCTGGTTCATAAGATTGCTCCTCTGTTAGGCCGTAGGTTATTTATTTATTTAATTTTTTTTCATAAAGAAAGACAATATGATATGCGAGTCATTTGAATCATTCACCCTAACAAAAAAACACATACCTTCTTGATGCAACACTTCATCATTCTTTGCATCCGACTCTTGTCTGAGCATTTTTCCAGGTATAGTTATGATCTTGCAAGTTAAGACAACAGCACAATGTTTGGTTTGTCATATGCTGCATGGTCTAATTATGATGAAAATTTTAATCTTTGAACCTCAAGTAGAACTCTTTCTTCTTTATTATACAAACAGCTTCTTTTTCTTTCTTTTTTTCTTTTTTTGAAGAGAGAAAAGATAATTTGAATATACTATAAATACAATTATGAAAATTCCAGACTTGTTTACCAGCAAGGGTGGATATATAAGCCGTATCACTGATATATACATAAACCACAGGTGGCAGGTTAATAATCTTAGGTTTTCTCTTAGTATTCATAAAGCAAAAGACAGATTAAGAACCTGAAAAAGAATGAAATATATATCCAAAACAATTGAAGGAAAGAATGCAAACCATAATGGTTCAGGACAAGTGTATTCCTGCTTTGTTGAGGAGCGAAAGCAGGTACAAGAAATCAACCTGTGTAAGCTTGGCTGCCCTCTTCTCTGCAAAATCTCCCTGCTTCAGAACTCTCAACACTTTCTCCTTGAAACTGCAACTCTCACCTCCTTCCCCCACCAGATCAATGTCTTCTTCCATCTCCTCCTCCTCCTCCTCCTCCACCTCTTTCTCGTCGTCGTCGTCGCCCATGCTAAGCTCCTCAATCATCTCTGCCAAAACTGTGACATCTTCCGAAGACACCTTATCCTCCTCCATCTGTACTTTCTGGGTGGCTTGCAAGGCTTGCAATGTCTTGTAATTCCTTTCTAGCAACGAGAGAACGCTCTTTTGTCGGAAGATGGATCCCAGAGTCTTGTTCTTCCGGTTGAAACAAAGGCGCACCAGCCCATCCCACTCCTTGAAGCTAACCGGAGGGAGCGGTCTCCTAGGCTCTATTCGCACAACAGAGGAGTCGACTTTTGGCGGCGGCCTAAAGTTGTTCCGGCCAACTTTAAGGAGATGAGAGACGCGGGCAAGGAGTTGAGTGTTGACCGAGAGACGGCAGTAGAGAGCATCGCCGGGATTTGCAACCAATCTCATAGCGAACTCGCGCTGGAACATGATGACAGCACACCTGAAGGCCGGACGGTGGGCCAACAGCTTAAAAGTTAGAGGGGAGGAGATCTGGTAGGGGATGTTGGCTACGCACATGTCGAAGTAGGGAAGCTCGCACTTGAGAACATCTCCTTCGATTAGCTACACAATTCAAGATATCAGAAAAACAAATTATGCCTCGAGAAGCAACTCCGCAAAAGAAGGCGGAATTAATGGAAAGGAGATAGATACCTTGAGGCGGCTGGAGTGAGGAGTACCCTGGAACCGGCGATTGAGCTCGAGAACCATGCGCGGGTCGAGCTCGACGGCGACGACGGACTTGGCGACCTCGAGGAGCTTCTTGGTGAGGTTCCCAGTGCCGGGTCCGATCTCGAGGACGACGTCGGTCGGCTTGATCCCGGACTTGTGGACGATGGTCTCCACCAGCATGGGGTTCTTCAGGATGTGCTGCCCCTTCGACTTCTCGAAGGGAACGCCGCCGCCCCACCGATGCTGGTCGCGCTTCTTCTGGATCTTGCCGCCCGCCATGCCCGCGCCTCTCCTATCCTCTGTCTATCTTACCTCTCGCCCATCGCCTAGGGTTAGGGTTTAAGGCCGGGCCTTATAGGTGCAGTTCGTTTGACCCACCTAACAAATACCACAGCCCACTTTAACATAGCCCATTTACGTGGAGACTTCCATCATCAACTGTGTTGACGGCCTCTGATCCATCAACTCACTTTAAGAGGTGAAAAAAGCTATTTTTATGATATATATATATATATATATATATAATATGAAAATAAATTATATTTTCTAATGGTATCTGATAAGCAGATAAGATTTACTCAAGGCAGTTGAGGAAAGCAGATAAGATTTCCTCAAGGCAGTTGAGGAAATCTCTCAGCAGTTGAGAAAAATCCTCCATGCTGAATGTGTATAACCTCCCTACTGAGTGTGTATAAATGGCTGTCAAGAACTCACTATCAAAGTGTATTAGGCAATTATATCTTATACATTTCATAGTTTCTTCTACAATTTCTATCTTTCTATCTTCTTCGCTTAATTTCTATCATGGTATCAGAGCAGTTTGCCTAGAGCAAGCCCTCTTCTCCGGAGTCCAACCATCCCTCTCGTGGCGACGCCTCCGCCCCTCAACCGTAGCCATTCGCTGCAGCCTACTGTAGCACTTGCGGCTGCTAATATCATATCCTAAAGGAAGCACAGTCACGGCCTTTGTTTCTACCGCCGGTTGTTGCTCCCTTGCCAACCGAAGTCTTCCGCTGAAAACTCCGCTGCTCTTCCGGCCACCAAACTCCAATACTGCATTACTGCAACTATCTCCAACCTTGCAGATTTCTCCAGCATCGTTGTAGAAATCGCTGCAAGCTGCAGAGATTTCTTCCACCTCGCTGCAACAATCTCTCCTGCACTCTAAATCACTACAGCCTACCAGTGCCTCTGGAAGAAGCAGCAGCCCTCTTCGGCATTGCATACAGCTACTCTTCTACATCTGACGTCTTCATCATCTACCTCCCGCCATAGCCATCGCTGCCTTTCTTGCTGCAGATTGCTCGCCCATCACTGTAGTTCATCACGTTGCAGCCTTCTTTGCAGTTCATCACGCTGCAGCCTTCTCTGCAGTTCATCGCGCTGCAGCCTACTCTACAGCTCATCGATCTGCTTTTCTCCTCCTCTCTTCCTCCTATATCTTTACATCTTCTATAAAGATCACTTGACCCGCCACAAAATATCTAGGATGTCTTC